TTTGCTGCTGCCATTGCAAAGCGTCGTTGTGGCTTTTGCTTTTTGCCTTTCCCTTCCCGAGGCAACGCGGGACTGGAGCCGCACGGAGCCGCGCCAGCGGTAACAACTCCTGACAGCCCCAGCCGGATACCTCAGCGGAGCCCGGGCGGTGCGAGCCTCGTTTCCTTGGGAGCTGGGAGAAGGCTGGCTGCTCCTTTCGGCTTCACGGGATTCGTTTCCACGGTGCACAAAAGTGCCTAAAAAAAAAAAAGTGCAAAAGTGGAAGGCGTGCGGAAGAGGGGGCGAGTATATAACAAACTATATTTTGAGTGGAAATGTTGGGGGGTCGTCTTATACTCCGGGTCGTCTTATACGCCGGCATATACGGTACTTGCTTTCAGACTGAATGCTTTCATCATATCAATCCATCCTGACTAAGTTTCAATCCTATTTAAACCCTTCATGGAGATGAATGTTCAGATTTATTGCTTGTGACCAAACCATAACCATAGGAAATGAAAGATTGCTTCTGGACGACAAGAGCTAAACTGAAATATATGAAGCTGGGGATGGTAGGAGTTGGATTGTGACTCTTGACCGCACCTGAGCCTCAAGGGACAGTGGTGTCCTCCATTGTTCAGAAGATGTTGTACAAACCATGCAACCCATGCCAGTGTTTTCCGGCTCAAATTCAGAATGGATGCGTTTGGCCTGAACTGCCTTCATCTTTATGGGTTGATGGTCTCCAGGCTTTTACCACAATCTCTGATTGACAGCAGGGTCCATGCTCATTCTCTGTATTGGAGGGTTCCTATCCTGTGCAGCCATTTGATTCTGGGCTGCCAGACTGTTATGGTCTCTGCTGGATGGCAGTTGCTGTTTTTTGTTAGAGTAATTTTTCAGGTGATTCACTTATGGCCTGTTAAAATCAAAGACCCTTTCTGATGATCCCTTTGTGTTTCTGTCCAAGATGGTAAAGCATGTTCCTTATTGCTTCCTTGCCTAATCTGTAAAGAGACTTTTAAAGAGTCCTGTAAAGATTTCTTCCCTTTGTCTCGCCTTGCCTTGCCTCATCTTGTCTCATCTTGTCTTGTCTTGTCTTGCTGTCCTATCCTATCCTGCCCTGCCCTGCCCTGCCATATCCTATCCTATCCTATCCTATCCTTCCTTTCCCATTATTTTAGCATGTAACAATTTCCAGAGGACGGTCAGTGTACTGTAAATCTGTTGCAGCTATGAATTAACTCTCTCCTCTCCTTCTCTCTTTCATCTATCTATCTATCTATCTATCTATCTATCTATCTATCTATCTATCTATCTATCTATTAATCTAATCTAATCGTCAACTCACAAAACATTCCTGACCTGCTCATGAGTTGCCATAGGCAGGGGGATGTGGAATTGAGTCTTGCAGCTGCATTGAGGAACTTGCATTTCAATCAAAACAAAGCACATTCCAACCATCAATGTCAAGGTCACCTCCATGGAGATCAACAGTGACCAGAGGAAGTGACTTCTACAACCCGCAAAATTGCTTCGTTGGGGAATGTGACACACCTCATGACACACCTCATGACACACCTCATCAGTTGGGGATGGGGAAACAGGGTCAGAGCCAAGGCATGGATTAAATGTGGTCAGTGGTGATTTAATGTGATTTAATGTGGTCCTTAAATGTGGTCTGTGCTGACATGAAGATCCTAATAAATAACTGGATTTATTTGGAAGCTTGGCCTGAGACTCATGATCTGATCTAATCTAATCTAATCTAATCTAATCTAATCTAATCTAATCTATCTATCATCTAATCAATTGCAAGGTAGAAACATGACTACTATATAAAAGCTGAGCTATTAATTTTCCATGCTATAGACATTCCCTGGATTTACAGAGGATTTCCTAGTCCTTTGATTATTATAGCATCAGAACAATGGCAGGGTGGAGAGCAGAAGAAAGGATCAATGTCAAAGGAGAACATGAGAATGGAAAAGAGACAAAACTCCCCAAACCTTCCTAAAATTGCACATACTGGAATCTACTCTGTTACTGTTATTTTAAACACAGACTTCATTCAAACCATGGAAGCAGAAGAGCACCAACTCAAGCCCTTGAGGGGTGTGCACAACAACTTCAGTGCAACTCCAGGAAACCTCAAAGGTTTTTGCAAATTGCAATACAATGGAGAAATTAGGAAATACATAGCTGGAAAGTGTTCCATATCCATAGACTTGAAACCCCGCATTCCCATTGGTCCGTTTAACCGTTACCTGATTGGACAGCTTGGACAGTTCTGATTGGCTCGCTAAGAGTCTGCCGCGATTGGCTAAAACCAAGCACGGCAGATTTGAAGCGGCCGCCTAGCCGCAGCGAGCTCTATAAAAGAGCCGCCGCGGCTGCTATTATTTTGAGCTTGTTCTAGCCGATAAATAAAGAGCTGTTGTTACTGAGCCGAAGTCTCTCGTCTTAATGAACCCGACCTTCCGAATTTAACACTGGCGACGAAGGTGGGATAGAGAAGACAACGAGACAACCCAGCACGTGGTAAACGGCGCCAAACGACCATCAAGATGGCCAGCAACGCCACGCCACCCACTCCCTTTAACCTGACCACTGAGGACTGGGAGTCCTACATCGATCGGTTTCAGATGTTCTTGGAATGCAGCAATCTGAAGGACGCCAACGGGAACCGGAAACGGACCGTATTTTTAACACACTGAGGACCCGCCGTATTTAAAATGGCCAAGGCTTTGGCGAAACCGGCAGACGTCAAGGCGACGGACTGGGACGACCTCGTGCCCATCCTCTGAAACCACTATGCTCCAGCCGTGCCCATCCTCATCCGCTGGCACGACTTTTACCGAAGAGACCAGCGTGAGGGCGACAGCATCAGCGAATTCGTAGCTGATCTAAGGGACCTAGGAGGTTTGTGCGGATTCACCGACCTAGAAGAGGCCATGCGAGACCGGGTCGTCCTTGGCCTAAAAGACCCCACACTACAGAGCAAGCTGATGGCAAGGGGCAGTATCTCCCTCGCCAACACCATAGCCGAAGCAACTGCCGCAGAAGCCACCCGCAAATCAGCGGCTCGAATGCGGCAATCAAATGGAGATGACCGCCACCCTGTCAGCGAAACAGCTGCACCAGCAGAGAAACACACAATCTCCACCCACCATGGCAACACTGAATCCCCCTCTGACAGCGACTATGAGGAGGAAGAAATCCACCGGCTCCAGTTGGAACGTGATCGACGAGACCGGCGGGGTCGTAAGTCGGGGTTCCAATGCACCGGATGCGGAGGCAATCACCCCGCTCTGAATGCCGTTTCCTTGACGCCATTTGTCGGCATTGCGAGAAGCGGGGGCACATCGCAAAAGTATGCCGAAACAAACGCAACCTCAGCCCCCGGCGTCGAGGAGGTAGCCCGAGACGACGAGACGGCACCCCCCCAAAGTATCGGGACCACCAGACTGACAGCCGATGGAGCCGAGATGGCCGGACCAAGCGATTCAATGAGGCATCGCGGAAGGAAGAGACCCATCAAATGGTTGTCATCGGCCACTCTTCTACCTTAGACGCCCGAAAAGTACACATAACAGTAAACATCGAAAACCAACTGTGCTCCATGGAAGTAGATTCTGGATCCTATCTCTCCATGGTCTCCTGGCACACCATCAAGCGCCTAATACCCAGCATACGCCGACACGAGCTAAGCGACCAAAAGCTGATCCTCAGAGACTACCAAGGGAACCGCATCGCCGTAACCGGCATTGGGCACTTCAAAATCTCATTCAAAGACTGCACCAACATACTGCCACTCACCATCGTGGACAAAGACCGTCCCAGCTTGCTCAGGCTACAATGGTTCGAGCCGCTAGGGATAGAAGTGGCCGGTATCCACCACACCAACGAAGAAGATTGGGAAGTGGCACTTGCACGGGACTTCCAAGAGGTCTTCGACGACACCTTAGGCAAGTACAAGGGGTCCCCAATCTCCTTCAATCTTAACCCAGATGTCGCCCCTATCCGCCTCAAACCGTGGCGAGTGCCATTTGCACTCAAGCCCAAAATAGACGAGCAACTAAATAAGCTCATCGCCCAAGGAGTATTGGAACCTATTGACCACGCACATTGGGAAACACCTATAGTCACCCCCATCAAACCGGATGGCTCCTTAAGAATCTGTGGTGACTATAAGGCCACCCTCAACCATGCCCTGCAGCAAAGTGCCTACCCCGTACCAGTAGTCCAACACCTCCTGCACTCCCTGGGTTGGGGGGGGGGGGTCGGGTCTTTGCAAAACTTGAGCTGGCACAAGCCTATCAACAGCTACCGGTCGATGCAGAAACCGCCGATGCACAAACGATTGTAACGCACTGAGGGGCATTTAAATGCAACCGCCTCCAATTCGGCGTCAGCGTAGCGCCCGGGGTTTTTCAAAGCCTCATGGGAAGGATGCTGCCAGGCATTAAGGGAGTAGTGCCATACTTTGATGATGTATTAGTGGCAGCGGCCAATAAAAAACGACTAGAAAAATGCCTAAGGGCTGTACTCCAAAAATTTAAAGACTCTGGGTTGAAAGTTAAAAAAGAGAAATGTCAACTAAGGCGGAACCCTTGCATAGACTACTGGACAAAACCGCTTCCTGGACTTGGGGAAAATGGGAGGAAAATGCCTTTCAACAAATAAAAAACCTTTTAACTTCCGACGCAGTCCTCATCCAGTATAGTGAAATTCTACCATTAACGTTGACATGCGATGCATCTCCTTTTGGAGTAGGGGCAATCCTCAGTCATACCTTACCAGATGGAAAAGAGGCACTCATTGCCTTCTTTTCACGAACCCTGTCCAAGCCAGAAAGAAACTACAGCCAGCTGGACAAGGAAGCCCTAGCGATCATCTCCGGAGTGAAAAGGTTCCACGAATATGTCTACGGTAGGACCTTTTCAATCATTACTGATCATAAACCCCTGCTAGGCATATTGGCGGGCAACAAGGCCACCCCCAACATTCTATCACCTCGCATGACGAGGTGGTCTGAGTTCTTGGCCGCCTATAACTACCAGCTCACACACCGCCCCGGCAAGGACATTTTGCACGCCGATGCCTTAAGTCGCTCACCTCTCCCAGACGTGCAAGATGACCCAGCACCCACGTCCCACGTCCTCCAAATAGAAACCCTACCCAGCCCACTCCTCACTGCGCCAGACATTGCCCGCGAGACAAAAAAAGATAAGCGGCTGGCGCGAGTCTTGAGCTGGGTAGAACGAGGTTGGCCGGAAAATGACAAAGACGAACACTCTAAAGCTTTCAGGAACCGGCAAACTGAACTATTTGCCCAAAAAGGGTGCATTCTTTGGGGAGATCGGGTGGTGATACCAGAAACATTACAAACAAAGGTATTGGACATGCTGTACGAAGGGCACCCGGGCATTGTCCGGATGAAAGCCTTGGCAAGGAGTTACACGTGGTGGCCGGGGATGGACAGACAGATCGAAACATGGGTCGCTGCATGCAACAGTTGTCAACAAACGTGATCCACCCCCCCCCCACAGCACCCCCCCTGGAATGGGAAACACCCAGAGGTCCCTGGTCGCAAATCCACCTTGATTTCGCCGGCCCCACTCATGGACACACATTTCTAATAACCGTTGATGCCTATTCCAATTGGCTGGAAGTTTGCACCATGAAAAAGACAACCACTGAGGCCGTCATAGCTAAACTCAACAAACTTTTTGCCACACACGGGTTGCCTGATGTAATAGTGTCCGACAATGGGCCACAGTTCACTGCATTGGCATTCGAACAATACCTAGCTGCCCGAGGCATCAGACATGCATTGACATTGCCCGCTCACCCGGCGGCGAATGGGCGAGCAGAACGAATGGTTCAGTTTACCAAAAAACCATTCAAAAAATTGAGGACGGTGATATCCAGGAAAAAATCAATAAAATGCTGCTGATACAACACATCACGCCTAACTCAACCACTAACAAATGCCCAGCAGAACTGCTCATGGGCAGAAAGCTCCGCTCTCCACTAGACCGTTTGCATCCCACCTACAATCCGGAGAAACCCCCAGGCTCCACTAGCCGACATCGCGCATTCAACATCAGCGACACCGTCTTCGCGAAAAGCTTCACTGGGGACCCTCTCTGGGTACCCGCACGCATCACCCAAATAACCGGCCCCCAGTCCTACCACCTAGAAACAACTGATGGGCGTAGCTGGAAGCACCACATTGACCAGCTACAATCAAGGCTAGCCAGTCCAGACCATAATAAAGAAATCAGAGGGGGGGGGGAAACCTCAAACATCGAAAACGGAAAAAACTCAACGCAGGCAGAACACCCCCCAGACAAAAACATAAACCAATCATACTCACCTGAAAATGCAGAACCGTTGCAGACAGGTGCTTCACCTGAAAGGAATGGCCGGACAAGCTCGACCAGCCCAGAAAATCCAGGTGGGAGCAGCAGAGCGAACAACTCGACCAACCTGGGCGAACCAGGCGGGAGTCGCAGCTATAGGCCCGGCTCACCCTTCCAGGCGGTTCCATCAGGAGTGTTGAGAGCGACGTGGAGCCCGGCCGAACCGGCCGACGACCAGAGACTAAATGAAGTGTGCAAGTCAAGTAGGCAGGTACGGAGACCTGCCTACCTACGTGACTACGTCGATACCAAGAGGGGAGGGGTGTTCCATATCCATAGACTTGAAACCCCGCATTCCCATTGGTCCGTTTAACCGTTACCTGATTGGACAGCTTGGACAGTTCTGATTGGCTCGCTAAGAGTCTGCCGCGATTGGCTAAAACCAAGCGCGGCAGATTTGAAGCGGTGTCATTGGCCGCCTAACCGCAGCGAGCTCTATAAAAGAGCCACCGCGGCTGCTATTATTTTGAGCTTGTTCTAGCCGATAAATAAAGAGCTGTTGTTACTCAGCCGAAGTCTCTCGTCTTAATGAACCCGACCTTCCGAATTTAACAGAAAGTGCCATACTTCCTTCCTCATCATCAGAATTGTAAACAGTTAATCCAAGGAATAAGAATCAAAGAGAGTGTTGAGTATTTATTATGAATGAATATTACATAAGAATTCCAGCAAGGGCGCTAGTTTCAGATGAGACACTTACACATCTCACAGACCTATAACAAGGCAATTTAGTCAGCCAAACTCTTGCCAATTTCCATAATCTCTTTTGATGCAGAAGGGAGGTGTCAAGTCTCTTGCAAAGGCTCTGCTTCTGTTCCTTGTTATCAAAACTGCTGCACCTTTGCTCTGTAGGAGAAATAACTCCCCAAAGCACTAATCATATTAACCATATTTCATTTGACTTAACTTTACAATAATGAATTCAGGTTTTATGCACATCTACTACTATTTTGGCCTATGACACCGAAAAACATGTGTTTTTCAGAGTGAGTTTTTCTTAATATCAAATAAAGATTATTGAGGCACCCATTACACAAGCTTCAACTTTGCAATGGTGAAAGACAACTTGGCAAATCTTCAGTGTTGAAAAAATAAACAAACCTGTGATAATATTATCCAGATTGCCCTTGTGACTACAGAAAAGGATAGACAGAACCTCCTACTTTCCAGATGAAGCCTTACTCATGGGGAAGAATCCATGACTTACTCACAGATGTCTTCACCTTTAATTTGTTGTAGTTTCATGTTTGTGTGGGATCCCTAAGAAACACAAGAGGTGTGGTTCCCAAACTCTTGTCACGTCATAAGACTTGACTGGTCTTATGTAGTATCTTCTGAGGAGATGACAGGAAACAAACCTTCAGATCAAGGCAGAGACATCTCCAGAGGTACTGTTTTCTGCTGTATCTTTGTAGACTGGTTGTGAAAAAAATATTTTCTTCCAGGGCCAGATTACTGAGATGACATCTGGGTTTAGTCCTATTTGTAGTTGATTTATTCCTGCTGGTATAGGGAGCGTTAACATAGCTATTTACATCTGTGGCTTTGTTCTCCAAGTTGAATAGATAATCTCAACAGAAAAGAAACAGGTGAGTTTTTATCCCTGAAGGGATCATTTTTTTCTTAATAAATCCCCTTTCCCATTCCCTGAAGGCTGGTGTGAGTTTCATGGAAGAGAAAAATACTCAAGAAACTATATAGTATTCCCTTCCATGTATTTTTTTAAATCAAGTTTCTTTGCCTTTTCATCATGCAATAGCACAGGAGTATCAAACTCGCGTTGTCATGGCATCATCACATGACGTATCGCTACTTTCCCCCCCTTTGCTAAACCAGGCATGGGCGTGGCCAGTGAGTGTTGCATCTGGCCCATGGGCTGCAAATTTGACACCACTGCAATAGCACTTCAGGATTCAGAATTTGATTCAAAAAATTGAATTTTTTAAAATGTATGGATTCTTAATTAAATGTATTAATTAAAACATATTTCAATTTTAATTTTATATTAGGATGTCTTTCAAAATATAACATTTCTTTCTCCTTCCAAACTGCCTCTGAAATGTGATCTCTCTGAGTCCTTTTCACCTATCCTTATAGCAAGAGATGCCTAAGCATCAGAAATTGGGACAGTAGGAATAATTGAATATACTGATGAAATACTAGCTAGTCCATACCACATGGAAAATGTTTTGATCCCTTTTGCTGGAAAATACTTCTGGTCAACAGGCTTTTAAAATTGTACACTATACCCATTGTGGTAGTATTTGATAAGAGGAAGATTTAATAAGTAAACAAATTAGGTGGGAAAACTTTGGCCAGTAGATGTTATTCTGTGATGTCTCTGCAGCAATGTCCACATTTTGAGTGAAGATGGCCTATAATGGAAAGGAACGTCTCCATTTCACTTTGTCAGAGGCATAAACCTCTTCATGATTAAAACTCCCAGAGCATGTAAATAAGCTTCTGCAAATGTTACTGGTCTCACCTCAGAGATTTGTTCACCGGTCTCCTAACACAAACTTGCATTATGGTAACTCGCCTGAACTTTGCTGGATAAAATTATTTCTCTGCTGGCTCTTCAATTTGTTGTTTGTTGACAAAATTAGTTGATTTTACCAGTGTAATTTGCTTTCTCACTGTATAGTAAATGCAGAATAAAGTTCATTTGGCTTTTGCTGGTCAGTCCACCAGAAAAGGGAAGTGATAGATAGGAGATTTTAAAATACCTGCAACTTGCGTAGTTTGGTTTGCAGCAGTGAAAATGTATATTGTTTAAAGAATAGGGTTATTTTTTTAAGTTAGAGGCCAAAAAGTGATTTAAATTGACATTAGTCTGACATGGGATATGTTGTGAATCAATAAAAAAGTAACTAGCCCAAATGCAAAGCAGGTTTTGGAAGCCTGCACACCTGATTGGTCCTTAAACAACGAACAAGGATTGGTCCATAACAAGTCCCTGATTGGCCAATATTAGGACACTTCTTATTGGGTATTAGTTGAACTTGTTGCACATATTATTGGTTAATAAGGTAGCAGCCAACCCTATAAAAGGGTTACTGCTGCCCATAGCCTTGCTCTGTTCTGTTCTATCTACTGTTATTAAAGAGTTGAAGTCACTGGTCAGATGTCTGGTCTCCATTATTCTCCAAACTTAACAGGATAATTGAACGTCAGGAAGCAGGATCTATTCTGATGGCAAATAACATTTGCAAAACAAAGCATAATACATAAATTCAAAAGACTATTAGTCAACTGAGAAATGAGGAGTTGATTGGATGACTGTACCTCTAGCTTTAAGATATATGCTTGTAAGTCAAGTGGGAAGTGTCCATCAGCTGTCAAGGTTCCAAGTAACATACCCATAGCAAACAAAACTCCAAGGCAGGTAGATTCCTCAAAGAATAAGTTTATTGGATATGTTATATTGGCACAGGCTGTGAAAACTGACTCTGAATATTCCCATGGTTTTCACCTAATTAAAAGTAAAAGTTTTTTGCCTTTGGGCACGACCACCACATATGGTAATATGACCTGGTATCTGATTACACTTCCAACATTTAGCTGATAAATTTTCATACACCTTTGCTAGTCATGCTGGTGGTAGCTGCCACCTATAAAACATTTTGTATAGATTTTCCTTATATGCTATTGACATTGTTAGTTTCTTTTTTTTTCACACATTTTTTTTATTTTTATTCTTTAAGCATCTCTTTAAGTGAACAATGTGATTCCAGGTTATAGCATACATACATAATCACAATTACATTTTCAGCTTTCTTATTCAGTTTCATATCATACCATTACCTATTCCATTTTTCTTTCAATATGTTTTTCACTTCATGTTATTTCATTCATTTCCAGGATAAAAAAAACAATTTCATCCAAAAATATATTATCCAATAATTATCCCTTGTATTGTCAATTCAATTTAATTTTGCCACCTATTTTTATTTTATGTATTCTCCCCATTTTACACTCTTAAACCCAATATATAACAAATAAAAAAACTAATATCAATATAGCCATTTTAAATACTACCTCCTGTATTAACAACAATGATTTCCTCTTTACTGTTATATATTCATATATTTCTCCCCCCCAATCATGTTTCACATAGTATTCTTTCCCTATTACACAATAAATATTATATGTATTCCAAAAACATTCATATAAGCATTTCATATTTCACATTTTGTTTCTATTTAACCAATTGTAGATGCAAGTAACAACATTATACTTTGATTTTCATATTCTATGTTCTTTTTCTTCATCATCTTACTAATTATGATGTAATACTCTTATTTCAAATTCTTATTTAACAATATAATCATTAATTTCCATACTCTTTGTTATTCCAATAACATTTATATAGCAAATTATATTTTCTATTTCATTCCCATTTAGTCCAGTATAAAAAATTAGTAACAGTGTAATCATTTTTAATTCTCTTACTCCTTCACTTTCCTCATCATATAATTATATCTTAGATAACATTCTTACAATAAATTCTTATTTCCCCTTCTATTCAGATTAAATTTATTTCTTTATTTTTAACAATAATTTCCAATAAACTTTAAGTTCCAAACTCCCTAACCTTTAAATCTGTTTTCTAAAAATACCAAGATACATTTCCATGTGGAATCCCCCTTCTTTCATATCTCTAACCATCATCTCTTGGTCTCTCAGCTATATAATTTCTTCTAATCTTAGTTTGCTTTTCATTTTATCTTTTTTAGGTCCTTCCTCTTAATTCCTCCTTTTTCCCCCTGTTATTCTTCTTGGTTTCACCTCTCATTTGCTTATTTTAACCTCCTTCCTCTCCTGATTGTTGCTTTGTAATTTCCTCTTCTTTAACTCCTTCTGTTTAATTTTGAGAGATTTTTCCCTTTATTTGTTATATCCATCACTGAAGTCTTAGATTTAATTCCTTTTTTGTCCTTTGGTAATGTCTGTTGTTCTCTTTGCTCTTTTAAGCTGGTTTCCTCTTTGTTTAACTCCTCTCCCTTGAGCTTTCTTTGTTCTTCTATGATCTGCATCGCCATTTCTAATTTTTCTGCCATAATGTTCTATAGTTCCAAGCTTTCTTTTATTATTCCCCTCAAGCTTTGCAATTCTGATCTGAGTTTTTTGCATACTTCATTTACTATGACTTTACACTTTACTTCCTCTTTATCTTCTTTAATGTTTATATCCAATTAAATTGTCCTGTAGTTTGTTAAAGCCAGCATCTTTTTATGTTAATCTTTACCAACCATGTCCATTTATCTTAGTTTTCTGTTGTTAGTTCTTCTATTTCTTTATTAAACAATCCCAAGTCCACCAACCAGTCCCATGATGTTATCTTCAATTATCCCTTTATTGTAGTATTTTAATATTCCAATTTCTGGGATTATAGTTATATTAAAACTTTTCATTTCATTTCAAATTCACATCTTTACTAGACCAGAAATTTTCCATAGAGTCAGAGAAAAAAATCATTTTACCATTAAGTGGCATTCTTAAATCAGTTTTCATTTCCACCTTTTAGCGTCCACTTTTTAAAGCTTGTATTAACTCAGCTAATTTCCAATCTTTAGATGTAATTTCTTTTAAATATAGTCAGTTCCTGCATTCTAATCAATGCCTAATCAATGCCAATTTCTGTATAATTATCCAATTCAATTTCTTAATCTGTTATAGTTAAAAGTCTTCTCTGAGTAATATCACTTCCATTTAAGTCTTTTAAAAGATCAAGTGACTTTTTAAATTTACTAAATATTTTAAAACATTAAAAAAAAAGATAAATAAATTGTTATTTAGAGTTTTATGCTTTTAGTCTGCTGGGAAGGAATCCTTTTTTTTTAAAAAAAAAAACTCTTTCCATGTTTATCATTGCTAAGAACAGAACAACCTGAAGGCCAAGGAAACTTAAACAGCTTGAAAAGGGAAGAGACGTGGCAAATAAATTATATAAGATGTCATGGGAGAAGCAAATGGAAGATTTATTCAATGAATTCAAGCAAACACAAGGTAATTTTTTTCATTTTTGTTGTCTTTGAAGTATTTCCAAACCAAGAATACTCCTTAATAATTTAGTCAATACAGAAGTGAAATGTATTTTCTTGGTTTATGAGACATATTTATTTAATTTATCAAATTTATTTGCCACCCATCTTGCAGTTCAGGTGACTCTAAACTGAGATTAGGGATTAGAGAAGTTTGGTCTTAAATTACTCAGAAAAATTCCTGTGTAGAACTGATACCAAATATGATTTAGGCATGCATTCTGATGTCATCTATTTTTTTCAGTTTGTAGTTCTGAGTTCTGAGTGTAACTGAGTGTAATTCAAAGAGTTCTTTGCAATCAATTTTAAGCAATCAACTGTACATTGCTTAAAACTGATTCCAAAAAATCCTATGAATTGATTCTTTCATCTCTTCGGAAGGAAGCCAATTCAAGGCATCAGTTTTTACAGAGAAAGGGGACAATAGAGAGTTTGCATTCTTGTACATATTAATATCTTGTTAGAAGATTATTTATGAATACATAAATCTGTAGTTGTCAAAGGAATAAAAAGGAGAGGAATTGTGAGAGAATCTATTTTTACTTCTTCTTCTTCTTCTTTTTTTAAACATTACTGTTTTTCCTGCAATGTCTCAAGATTCTTCATCTGTATCTTAAGAATATTTTCCTTGGAATGTTCATTGGAATAAGCAGCATCTGGAACATTCTATTTGCTTTTGTTTCATATGTTGATATGTACATATGCATGTTCCCGTAGAATCTACTATAGCAGCGATGGAAAAGCCCTGGAAGTTTAAATTTTGGGATATTAGCAATAAATTTCTTAGTGTGGTGAACAACGTGCTGATAGCAACTCCACAAAATTCAAATTCACCAGGTAACAGTAGAATCTCTTATATTTTGCTGGAATATTTAAGTTCTAATAGTAGCCAATTATTGATGGGACATCTTTGATGGTAGTAATCATTGTAGTCACCAAGATTCGGATTGATCCAAAGGACCATCATAACAATGATGGGACTGTCAGGATTTGCTGTCCAACTGTGAGTTAGTAAAAATTTAAAACCATAGTTTCAAGACTTCCCTGAATGGTCCATTCTCTGATATTTCATCCCCAGCATGACATTGTTGGGCACCCATTTATCCTTGGCACCTGCCTTTCTGCCAACCTGATTCCTGCCCTTAAAAAATAAATAAAAACAAAAGACTTTTTTCAAAAAGGTTTTCATAAGTTTGAGTATTACTTTCAGTAGATTTGCAATATGTTGTAGTAGATTTATTGCTTTCATATAATTTAACCACTGTCTAATTCCTATTAGTTCCTTTCTTGTTCCTAATAAGAAAGATGTTTTCTTATGATCGGCCTTCTCCCACCACTGAGGTGCCTTACACACACACACACACACACACACACACACACACACACACACACACACAGGCAAGCAGTCTAATCATTTTCAGGAGCCTCTACAATATTCTTTGAACATTTCCACTAGGTCTACACTGATCTAAATAATTTGGAACTCCCAATGTTTCTTTGTGTCCTGTCCACCTTCTCCTACTCCACCTCAACTACTTCTATTTATTTTGGTAAAACATATTGTTAGCCTTCTATTAGTGGTTTCTTGTTCAAGATTTCCAAATCACTGAATGGATGAAATGAAGCTATTTCACTTTGCCACAAATGCATGACTGTGTTTCTTTCATATTATTTTTCCTCAGGGAGTTCTTTTGATGTAATTCCTAATAACTCATTAGATTCAAAAAGGAATCCAATCTTTATAGGTGCTAGTAATCATGTTGTGTCTTGTATAAAGTCTGGTGATGGACAGCTTCAAATGCAGCTCAAAGTGAGTATTCCATTTGTAATCATTCTTTTTTTAGAATACAATGAATGAACTAGAAGGAACCTGGAGGTCTTCTAGTCCAGCCCCTCTGCTCAAGCAGGAGAACCTATACTATTTCAGATAAGTGACTGTCTAGGCTCTTCTTAAAACATCCAGTGATGGAGCACCCACAATTTCTGGAGGCAAGCTGTTCCACTGGTTATTTTTTCTAGAAAAATAACTGGTTTTCCTTTTTCACTAGGATTAGTATTGTGTCTGATCTGTGAGATAAAAGGATTTACAATCTGCTTGTAAACAAACATATGCCAGATTATAGAATATGCTACCTTTCTCTGTCATTGTTTCTCCCTGATATAATTAGTGACAGGGGTTTTTTTGTGTGTGTGTTTTACTTTTCACAAATAAATTAAATTGTAGTTCTGGGCTTCATGGCATGGAAAAGCAAAGTACTGCTGCGACTACTACACATGTAATTAAAAGCTTCCTATGATGCCAAGTTCTAAATCAACAACAGTGATACTCTTTTAGTGGGAAGAAGCTTTCTGCAAGGCCGTTCTCCCTTAATCTTGTAGCTATGATGTCATGTGATATAATATACTTTGTTTTGCTAAGGAAGACTTCCTTTTTTTTAGGAGGAAAATATCATGATATTGCATAAAACAACAGAAAAGCTCAAGAATTTCACTTTCTACAGTAAAAGTGATGGCAGGCCAGAGATTTGCACTTTTGAATCGGCAGAGTTCCCAGGTTGGTTCATAAGCACTTCATCTGAGCCAAACAAGCCTATTGGTTTAAGTCAAAAAGGAGGACCTGAAAATGTCTTGTTTTATTTTAGAAAGATATAAATCAAATTTATAAATGGAGAAGAGTTATTTTGGTGTAGGAGGAGGACAGGAAGAGCCTGGAGGTGGAGTCAAGAAAGGATTCAGCTTAGAATTGTTATGTTCCCACAAATGGTCCAAGTCCAACCCCTCTTGATTTTCATTAACTCTTGATAGCACCAATTTAATACTGACTGTTGTTAGGTAGATTCTTGTAAACTAACACATTTTGCACCGATCTAGGAATTTGTAAAAATTATCATGCACAAAATATACTTTGCAACTAATGCCATTTTCCAGCTTGTGGGTGAGATTTTTGCATTAACCAGTGAATTAATTTTTTGCATTTCTTTTGACTCACATTTTGTACATGGAGCTATTGCCATTTCTTATTAATAAAAATATGTTTCACAAGTGTGTTTGGTTCTTTATCTTGCTAATAATTTCCTGTTGAAAAGAAGGATTCTCATTTAGTGTTCACTTGATTCCATTGAAACTGCTAGCTCCTGTTTCACTCATGCCTGTACTGTTTGATGTATGGATGCCAGGACATGTGACAGCTGAAAACAATGCAGCAACATTGGGTTTTAACTAGAAAAGCAAGGTTAAAATGACACAAATCCAGCACACCAAAGAGAAGGGGAACCAGTGGTGGTATTCTACCAGTTCAGCCTGGTTCTAGCGAACCGGTAGTAAACAATGTTACCGTTCTGCCAAACCAGTAGAAAAAAACAGTTACCGATTCAGCGAACTTGTATTTCTTTTCTTTTAGAATACTTTATTGGCCAAATTAAGGAATTTGTCTTGGTGTGAATACTCTCAGTATACATAAAAGAAAAGATACATTCATCAGGAGTCGAGAATCATAAGGTACAACACTTAATAATAGTCATAGGGTACAATAAGCAATCAATCATACTAGGATACAGTCAATATAAATTGTAAGGATACAAGCGACAAAGTTACAGTCATACAGTCACAAGTGGGAGGGGATGGGTGGTAAGGGGTGATGACAAGATTAACAGTAATAGTAGTGCAGACTTTGTAATAGTCGAACAGGGTTGAGAGAATTATTTGTTTAGCAGAGTGATGGCTTTCGGGGGAAAACTGTTCTTGTGTCTAGTTGTTCTGGTGTGCAATGCTCTATAGTGTCGTTTTGAGAGAAGGAGTTGAAACAGTTTATGTCCAGGATGTGAGGGGTCTGTAAGTATTTTCACAGCCCTCTTTTTGACTTGTGCAGTATACAGGTCCTCAACTGAAGGCAGGTGGGTAGTAATTGTTTTTTCTGCAGTCCTAATTATCCTCTGAAGTCTGTGTCTGTTCTGTTGGGTTGCAGAACCAAACCAGACAGTTATAGAGGTGCAGATGACAGACTCAATCATTCCTCTGTAGAACTGGATCAGCAGCTCCTTGGGCAGTTTGAGCTTCCTGAGTTGGCGCAAAAAGAACATTCTTTGTTGTGCTTTTTTGATGACGTTTTTGATGTTAGGTGTCCATTTTAGGTCATGTGATATGATAGAACCTAGAAATTTGAAGGTGTCTACTGTTGAAACGGTGTTGTCTAGTATTGTAAGAGGTGGTAGTATGGGAGGTTTTCTTCTGAAGGCTACCACCATTTCTACGGTTTTGAGTGTGTTCAGTTCCAGATTGTTCCAGTTACACCACGAAGCAAGTTGTATAACCTCCTGCAGATTCATAGTTGTCTCGAATGAGACCAATTACTGTTGTGTCATCAGCAAACTTCAGTATTTTAACAGATGGATCATTTGAGATGCAGTCATTGGTATATAAAGAGAAGTGGAGAAAGCACACAGCCTTGGGGGGGGGCCTGTGCTGATTGTACAGGGATGTGATTGGATGTGATTCTGTCTAGTTTCCCCTGCTGTTTCCTGTCTGTTAGGAAGCTTATGATCCACTTACAAGTGTGTTCAGGTACCACTAGTTGGTTTAATTTACTTAGAAGAGTGTCTGGAATGATGGTATTGAATGCTGAACTGAAGTCTACAAAGGGGACCCTTGCTTAGGTATTTGGAGATTCAAGGTTTTGTAGGATGTAATGCAGAGCCATGTTAACAGCATCATCTGTTGATCTATTTGCTCGGTATGCAAACTGCATGGGATCTAACAGCAGATCCGTAATGGTTTTCAGGTGGGACAGCACAAGGCTTTCAAAGATTTTCATAACTACATATGTTAGAGCAACCGGTCTGTAGTCATTCAGTTCCTTGATGGAGGGCTTCTTTGGCACTGGGATGATAGTAGAGCGTTCTTTTCTTTTCTTCTTTTTCCTCCTGACAATCAGCTGTTCCAATGATCAGCTGTGCTGGGATTCCCCTCTCTGTCTTACTGCTTCACCCAGGAGGCTTCCCTGAGGCCCAGGAGGAAAAAAAACAGAGTGTGGGTGGGTGGGGTGCTGCAAAAAAAAAGAAGAAGAAGAAGAAGAAGAAGAAGAAGAAGAAGAAGAAGAAGAAGAAGAAGAAGAAGAAGAAGAAGAAGAAGAAGAAGAAGAAGAAGAAGAAGAAGAAGAAGCCACACCCACCCAGTCACAATGCCTACCTACCCACCTAGCCATGCCCACAGAACCAGTAGTAAAAATATTTGCATCCCACCCCTGAGGGGAACCCTCTAATCAGTGTTTCTCAACCTTGGTGACTTCAACTCTCAGAATCCTCAGCCAGCATAGCTCACTGGGTGATTCTGGGAGTTGAAGTCCACCCATCTTCAAGTCGCCAAGTTGAGAAATACTGCTGTAACTGAAAGGAATGAGGGTAATTTAGGCATGCGAAGAGTAGCTGACAAAGATGTGGAAACGATAGAGCTCCACTTCTACTCCTTTATATTGTCTTTGACAGGAGAAAATGTCTTCTTCCTGACCTCCTTGTCTATAGCTGAGGTTGAAATTCTGGTTTGAGGAGAGTTGCTTAGCACAGCAACACAGATAAGTGGATATCTTATCTGATTATTTAAGTTCCTTAAATGGGAGTATAAGGAAGGAGAAAATAAAAACGTCCTGGCACATCCAGAGCTAAGGGAGGGATCTAACAAAAGCTAGAAACATCAGAAGCAATGTAAGACCAGACGAGTATAACTACATTCCACTCTGGGAAATGAATGGCTCTTAGTCAGTTATGATACAATGGGGGGGAAGAAGAGATACAAAGTTTTGAAAATGCCTAGTTAATGAAAAGAAGGACTAGGGGTGACATGATAGTGTTGCTAATATCTAAGAGGCTGCCCCAAAGAAGAAGGGATCAACCTATTCTCTAAAGCACCTGAAGGCAAGACAAGAAACAATGGATGGAAACTAATCAAGGAGAAAATCAACCTAGAACTAAGGAGAAATTTCCTGACAGTGAGAACAATTAATCAGTGGAATGATTGGCACCAGAAGTTAGGGTGCTCCCATCACTGGTGATTTTTAAGAAGAGATTGGACAACCATTTGTCTGAAATGGAAAAGGGTCTCCAACTCTTTTATTCTATTATTCTGAACCTCAAGCCTAATCTCTCTCACTCACTCTGTGCATACGTATATACATCCATACATATATACACAGTATATATGAATGATTGTCTGTCTGTCTGTCTGTCTGTCTGTCTGTCTGTCTGTCTGTCTGTCTGTCTGTCTATCATCTATCTATCATCTATCTATCATCTATCTCTGCAGTAAAGTAACCTAATAGAGATATGGGCTCTGAATATGTTCTTCAGATTTTGAATTTTGGTTTGGGTGAAGTCTGACCAGATAACAAAGAGAAGTATTCAACTGTCTTAGTAAAGCCAACTTGTTGGATTGGTTTTGATTTAGTATAGTAGTTTTGACTTTATTGTCATTGTACTTTGTACAATGAAATTAAATGCCATCTTCAGTGTACATTAAATATAAGGAAATTATAAAAATAAAACAACACACATATCCTTCACATTCTATGCAATTGAATTGAAAACCCTTGATATCGCATTAATATTGCACTATACAGTAGAATTCAATATAGTTATTGCTCTGGGATAGAAGCTGTTTTTCAGCCTATTTGTCTTTTTTTTTTTTTGCAATATTTTTTAAATTTTTGTTCCAACAAACATATCATTGTGTAAACAGTGTTGTTCTGGAGTGTCTTACATTTTAAAACAAATATGACAATATTCTTCCTATTTAATATAGTTGACAGTTAATATTAATATTAACTACATCTTTTGTTAAATTATCAATCTTAATTATTCAATATTACAATGTCTTATTTTTATGTTAATCTCTATATTCTTGGCATCACTCCTTTTACTTTAGATAATATATTAATAATCATATTTACAGTGTTTAACAAATTATATAATTCTAATAACAATTCACAAATTCATATTGAATTATAATTTTCCATTATTTATCCCCTTCTTATGCCACTATTATATTCCCCTTTCTAGTCACATTTTGATACAAATAAAATAGTGTTCATCATATTTATCATATGTAAATATTCATCATATGTAAAGCATATTCATCATATGTAAAGCTGTTCAATACCACAGACAATACTACTACCCTACAAAAAGACCTAGACTATGTATCTGAATGGTCTAACATATGGCAACTCCAAATCTCAACAAATAAATGCTCTGTCTTACATATTGGTAAAAAAAATCAGAAAATAAAATACAAGCTGAATAGTCAAGATCTTGTTGATGACCCAAGCTCTGTAAAGGACCTGGGAATACTCACCTCTAATGATCTAAGTGCTAGAGCTCACTGCAACTACATAGCCAAAAAGGCATTAAGAGTTGTTAACCTAATCCTACGTTGCTTTTTCTCTGGTAATATCTCACTACTAACCAGAGCATACAAAACATTTGCTAGACCAATACTCGAATACAGTTCATCAGTCTGGAATCCTTATCACGTATGTGATATTAACACAATTGAGAAAGTCCAGAAGTATTTCACAAGAAGAGTTCTCCACTCTTCTACCCGTTGTAGAATACCTTATGCCACCAGACTCGAAATTCTAAAACTAGAAAACCTCGAATTACGCCGTCTTCGGTCCGACTTAAGCATGGTATATAAAATCATACATTGCAATGTCCTACCTGTCAATGAATACTTCAGCTTTAACCATAACAACACAAGAGCACACAACAGATACAAACTCAAAGTAAACCGCACCAAACTTGATTGCAGGAAATACGACTTCAGCAATAGAGTGGTCAATGTCTGGAATACTCTACCCGACTCTGTAGTCTCTTCCCCAAACCCCAAAAACTTTAACCTTAGACTGTCTACTATTGACCTCACCCCTTTCCTAAGAGGTCTGTAGGGGGCGTGCATAAGCGCACCAACGTGCCTACCGTCCCTGTCCTATTGTTTCTCTTATTCTTTTATTTTTCTTATATGTACCCATTTCATATATTCACAACTATGTATACACTTGTACTTATTATCTTGTAAACAATTGACAAATCAAATAAATAAATAAATAAATAAATAAAATATTTATATTTATCAAGTTATGCAATTCTAATAATAGTGCAGTTACTTTTATGAAGTTGTAATCTTTCATTATATTAGAATAGAATAGAATAGAATAGAATAGAATAGAATAGAATAGAATAGAATAGAATTCTTTATTGGCCAAGTGTGTTTGCACACACAAGGAATTTGTCTTGGTCCAAATGCTCTCAGTGTACATAAAAGAAAAGATGCATTCGTGAAGAATCATCAGGTACAGCACTTAATAATAGTCATAGGGTACAATAAGCAATCAAATCATATTAGAAAACAGTCAATATAGATCATAAGGATACAAGTGAAAAAGTTCCCTTTCCTACAATAAAATATTAATAAACATATTTATTACATTTAATGATTATATATCTTAACTAATAATACACACATTTATGTGGAATCACAATATTTTTTTAACCATCATCTCTCACTCACATTAAAGATTTAGTTATTCATTTCTTAGCTTGTCTCCCATATTCCTCTCAAGTTTTCGTCTCTTGTCACAAGGAACAGAGACCATTCCTCTTAAACATTCCTCCCTTCTCTATGTTCCATTGTCTCATTTTGAAATTATCTACTCTTTCTCCTGTCCTTCTCCGAAGAAATTCTCCTGCAATTTCAATTCCTGTTTAACTTCCCTTGAAATACACTTCTCTTGGTATGTTACATCAATCATTATCATTTTTATTTTTATTTCCTTTTTGTCATTTCTTTTTGCTTGTTGTTTTGTCTGTTCTGTTTTTCCAGCTATTCTTTCAATTGATTCCTCCTCTTCTTGGACCTCCTGTTTGCTTTTTGTTGTTTGTATCTCACTTTCTAGATCTACAATACATCCATGCTCTATATTTTATTTCCAATGTCCTCATATCTTCTTGTCAAAGTGTCTTTAATATCCTGAATTTCCAATGCAATTTCTTTGCAGATTCCAGTCAGCTTTGTTTTTATTTATTTTATTTCTTTCTGTCCAATTGTCCAACAATCCTTTATTCAAACCAAAGCCACTTTTCAGGCAAAAAATCCAATGGAGTCTTTGTGTTCCAATATTAATTCAATCTGTTCTTTTAAATAATCTTATATTATAGCTTACAGGGATCTTTTAATAATAGAATTCTCTTATTTCTCACTTTTAGTTCTCCATAAACCAGGTCTTATCAGAACCTTGGGATTTGTAGTATCTTTGTTTGACAGCAGGTGGCACTCTTAAATCAGTTTTCACTGTTCTTATCTTCTTTATCAGACTTTACTGGTATATTTGGTATATTCCAAAAATGAATATTATATTCATTTTTATATAGGTTTCAGCATTTTAAAAATCCAGAGCCAATGTTTGTCCAATCTAAAAATCATCTTGGTTGCCTCTTCTTCCTCCCATGGTACAGAGGGCAAAGATAGCCTCTGAAGGCTCTGCAGAGGAGTGTGTTCTTCCCTGGGACCTCATAGGACATCCCTCCTTGGCTTTACTGCCCTTCCAGGGTGATTTTGGCTTCTTCCAAAGCCCACAAGCAAGAAGAAGCCAGCACAGAGAGAGAGAGCTCCGTTCCCTTGTGGCTGGTATCATGGCATATCGTTGTGATGTCACTTCCGGTCCCAGCCTATTTGTCCTTGTCTTTATTGTCCTGTGCCACCTGCCAGATGGTAATAGTTCAAAAAAAGGGTGCACAGGATGAGATGGATCTTTAAGAATGTTTTGAACTTTCTTAAGGCAGCAGGAGCTATAAAGCTCTTCCATAGAGGGGAGAGGGCAACCAATGATCCTCGGGGCAATGATGTTAACCCTCTAGAGCACTGCCCTATCTGCCACTGTGCAATTGGCAAACCACACACAGGTGCAGCAAGTTAAGATACTCTCTATGGTGCAACAGTAGAAGGTCACTAGCAGTTTTTCATTCAATTGTTGTTTCCTGAGAAGTCTCAGGTAGTATAATCTCTGCTGGGCCCTTTTGACCAGGGCTGCAATGTGAGCACCCCAGGTCAGATCCTCTTTTATGATAACACCCAAAAACTTGGGAAAAATTGCCTTAACTACCATACTAAACTGGCTCTTATTATGAATATAGCAGATAACTAGATATTTGAAATAAAAACAACAAAGCTCATCTGTCTATTTAATCTAGGAATGATAAAAGCAATGTCTTTTATTCCCAGCTTCATGCCAACTCATGATTTGTTTTGCTGCAAGAAAGAAAGAAAGAAAGAAA